TTTCTCAAAAAATTTTTTTTCAAAAAATTTTTGAAAAAAAAACATTTTTGAAAAAAAAATTTTTTTTTTGAAAAAAATGTTTTTTTAAAAAGAAATTTGAAAAAAAAAATGTTCTTTAATTTTCTTGAAAAATTAAAAAACAAAAAAACATTTTTTTAACCTGGTAGCTCCATCTCTAACATTCTTCTACCAATGTATCCACTGTCCCTCCTTTGCACGTCATTTTTTGAAGAAAATTTTTTTTTTGAAAAAAATGTTTTTTTATTTTCTTTAAAAATAAAAAAAAAAAAAAAAAATTTTTTTTTCAAAAATGTTTTTTTTTTCAAAAATTTTTTGAAAAAAAAAATTTTTTTTTGAAAAAAATGTTTTTTTAAAAAGAAATTTGAAAAAAAAAATGTTTTTTTATTTTCTTTAAAAATAAAAAAAAAAAAAAAAATTTTTTTAACCTGGTAGCTCCATCTCTAACATTCTTCTACCAATGTATCCACTGTCCCTCCTCTGCACATGTCCAAACCATCTCAATCTGGCTTCTCTGTCTTTTTCTCCAAACCTTCCTGTCTGTGTTGTCCCTCTAATGACTTCATTCCTGATCCTGTCCATTCTTGTCACTCCTAAAGAGAATCTTAGCATCTTTAACTCTGCCACCTCCAATGACCTTGAAGAAGGTGATGTGAAAACACTATGCTGGTCTGTAAAATGTGTGAGAGTTTGGTACCTGTAGAGGTTCTCAGCATTGTTTTCCACCAGTTCTGGATGGTTCTGACAGGAAACTGTGATGATGTCACCCTGTGAGACCAGTCTGCAGCCAGAGAGACACAGAGAGACAGAGAGAGACAAAGAGTTTTTTTATTACAGTCAAGTGACAGTTAATGATGTAAAGTCATTAAACATCTTTATTATTTGTTTTGTTTAAGTGTTACGTCCCCAGTCTAGGGGAACTGGTCCCCTTGCTACTCTCATCTCCAAAGTGGTCACGTCCAAGATTTTATAGGTTTTAAAGTAGCATTTTAGTTTGCTCATATATGAGAAAATGCCCAAAACAACAAAGAAAAAAACTCGGGACCCTGATCTTTCCTCTAACAAAGAAAACAAAATACAGGATTCTGCCCTAAGTCCTAATCAAAAACTGGAGAAACGTCAAAGTAAATGCTCTAATCCTGGTTTTAACTCATCACGGTGAATCTGAGAAACATGTTGGACATACCTGGGACAGTTAAAGTGTTCTGACAGCAGAAGATCACAGCAGCTGCTCGGGTCCTTGTACAGCGGTGATGCCACTGGCTGCACGTGGAGCATGTTGGCAAATGGTGGCGATGCTGAGCGACAGGAGCTTTCAGAGAGACCTGCACGGTCCAGAGGAGAAGGCATCCACCTCTGAGATATGAGGAAACAACACAGGAATGACAACACTGGTCTCACAAAAACCTGGTTTCAAATGACCTTTAATTAATTTTAATAAAATGAATCGACTGTTTCATCTTGTACCTTTCTAAGAAAAGAAAAAAATAAATCTGATAAAAATCACACATCTTAGAAAAATATAATATTCTCATGTTTCTGCCTCCAAATTCCAAATCTTAGTAGCAGGCTCCATAAAAAAGCTCCACAAAAAGAGTTCCGTTAGAAGCAATTTGAGTGAACTTGTGATTCGACTACAACTGTACCGACTTACTGTATGTCAGGGTTGGCCAAACTGTTCCACAAAGGGTCGCTGTGGCGGCAGGTTCTTGTTCCAACCAAGCAGTAGCACACCTGAGATTGACAGGTTCAATCAACTGGTCTCAGTCTTCAGACAGCTGATTGGTCCAACTATGTGCTCTTGGTTGGTTGGAACAGAAACCTGCAGCCACACAGCCCTTTGAGGAACAGTTTGGGCATGCCTGCTGTAGGTGAAGGTTTATAAAATGAGGTGACATATGATAAAATGATCAAACTATTCATAACATAAAGACACTTCCAAATGTACAACAAAATGCTTTAAAAGTACCGTTCATTTAATTCAATTTATTAGCATCATTATTAGGAGGGTTTTGAGGTTGTGATTTTCTCACCTTCATCCTCAGTGTGCATTTATTCACTGGAACCATTTCTCCGTCAGTCAAGTTGAACCACAGGGTGGCAGATATAAGGCCTACGTCCTCTTGGTTCTGTGGTTCCTGACTCTCTGCCGAGTCGCCCACCACCACGGTGACCAGTCGCTCTCTGACCTCTGTGGAGGGTCTGTGGGCCTCACCCACTCTGCACAGCCACACCCACTCACGGTTGAACAGTCCCAGTCGAAGGAGCAGCCGTTTGCTCATGAACACGCTGCTGTCTGCGTCCAACGTCGCCGCCTCCTGGTGTCCAACCTCCGCCCATTGCCGAGTGTCAGCCACACGAACATCAACACTGCACTCCAGCGCACGCAGGACATTTGAGAATCCAGAGTCCAGCAGCCGTCTGCTGTTCAGGAGGGACCTGCCATTTCCAAGGCCGTCTGCATAATGAGCAAAGTCTGATATGCACAGACTGATTGGCCTGCAGGGGGCGACAGTAAGCTCCGATGAGTCCCAGCACTCGGTCAGAACCAGAGAGGTGTCCGCCGTGATCCGGCCCTGAATAACTGGACTACAATCCAAAACCAGAAACTCTGGTGATGTTTGCTGTTGAAGTTTTACACACAAAAAAAAAACAAAACAAAAAAACACATTACATGATATTCTCTAAGATGTATAAACAATATGATAACACATCAGAATCTTTACATACAACTGATGGTTTCCTCAAATTGCTAGGACTACAACAATAATGGTCAAAGGGTCTAAAAAGACGCCTACAGGTGCACCGATGCAACTGCAGCTTTAAGATATAGTGTTTTCTTTTCAAATATAAGTTTGTAAAAAAAAAAAGAAAGTATAGTACTGTATAGAAGTAGAAGCTCATTCTCGACATTAACCTGCATTATCCAAAGTCATAATTTATTAGTTAAACTGGGGGCGAGCCCTACTTTAAGGATGAGATTTGAAACGTTAAATTGAATTAGTACTTTGTAAAATGTTAAATGAAAACTTATTATGACATGTTACGTTTGTAATGTAAAAAGAAAAACAACATTTCTAGGTATTACCTGTTCCGGGTCATGTCGTGGAAGCAGCAGCGGGTACCCTCTGCGGACTAGCAGCGACTCTTCCCGGCTGCAGAGCTCCAGTATTCTGTTGGAGAACGACTGCTTACCGGCCCAGGAAAGAGTATTTCTGCTGCGGGCACCGAGCACCACTCTGTCTAGGCTAACCGGTTTAACGGGCCGGACGGTGCCGCTGCAGCTGAGCAGTTGGAAGCCGTATCGTCGCAGGCAAACACGGCTAACAAACAGCCGAACACAGGTGTTCGATTCCTTGGAGTTGGAAAGTCCGCAGGTCTCCTCGGTGGTCGGGTGAAGCCGCAGTAAGATTCCGCTTCCTCCGTGAGGCCTGTGCGGGGTAAAGACAACGGTTCGTGGGTCCGAGTCATTCCGGAAAACTAGGCCCAAGTGAGAGTTTAAAACGAGGGCTTCCAGCGGGGAGAG